AATATGTTCAAATCTGAGATTGAAGTAGAGAAAGAATGGGGAAGAGGTAATTCCTACTGGACAAGCTGTAACAATTGAGATCAAGTACAAAAGCATTATTGGGAAAACCTCACCTTGAATTCAAAGGCTCTCTTAAAACATAAACAGTAGGGGTGAACTGTAAGAATGTGGTGGAATAGTTCTCATTTATGAAAGAAATTTTCAATACCAGATATTTAAGAAAGAATAAACAATTTCTTAACTACTTCATAAAGAATCTTTAGTATATTTCTTAAATAATTTTTTATTGTAGTTTCTGTAGAGTAATTTTGTATTCCTTTATGAATAGGATTAGATATAGATGTTCTACCTCATCTGGTGGATGTTACAATCATGACACATTTTTTTTCCCTTATGCATCAGAGAGATAAATGACCTTGTTGCATGTTCTGCTTAGAAGACTCACTCTCTTTTTGACTTTGGACAGAGCATTTTACATTTATATATACATCACTTCACACAAAAAATAAATAACTTAGAAAAAAATGTACTGAAGAACCAGTAAATAGTTTTTTGTATTACTAAATTACAAGCGGTGTTTTAAATCTAAAATAGTTGAGATGCCAATGAAAAAAGTTGAAGACAAAACTTCCATCTGAGTGACTGATACTTGTGATGTTCAAAATCTCACTGTGTGTCTGGTTTCCATGTGCTAGGAAGTCTGTCTTTTCTTGTATGCTGGAAGCAAGGAATATATTTCCTGCCTTTGGAACTCACAGCAAAGCAGCTTCCAGGCAAGCCAATGTATGACCATACATTTGATGGGCTAAATCAACTTATGATCCTAAACTGACAGGTGGTTTTGAGCAGTTCAAGAGGGATTTAGTTGGTGTGGTGCAAAATGCAGCCTACAGGTCAATGGTATTTGGATAAGCAGCAGTTAATAACCAATGGCCAATACTGTTACCCTTGTTTATGCCAGATAATGCCATTCTTTTTAAGTTGTCTGACAGAAATAAATTAAAATACTTTCATGTTGAAGACAGATTTGCTGTGAAGTAAAAGGATGGTAGAATTGTCCTTGTACAATGAGTCAGATGTTTTGGTCTTTGACAGGAAACAGTAGTATCAGAACAAATTCACAATTACTAGGGGGACACCCCCCACTCACCCAAACCCCAATATCATAGTTTTTTAATGTGTTTTTAGATTCTCGATTACTTTCTAGAAATATTCTACCATGGTATATATCTTGCTTCTGTTTTCACTGAAATCAATAGCAAAATTCCCAGTGACTGATGGAAAAAGACCATGAAAAATGTCTCAAAAGCATTTTTTTTGGTAAATTGAATTTGTTGGCCAAAAAATTAGATTTATAATTGTTTACTTCAATCTGATGTCTCTCTACATCAATTTCACTAAATTTATTCCTTCTAACTTGCTTTAAAAAAGATTTATCTTCCAATTTTGGCTTAAAATTTGGGTAATAAGCTCTTAGCAATATAAACAGAATCCAAATTCAATGTGCAAGAACAGTAATAAAAAGCTCAGTGCTAGCTCTGATAGTTTGCATTGATATTTTTTGTTGTACTTACAGTGTTTGCTTTCCCAAATATCCCACTTGCCTTTTTTTTGGCTTTTAACCCTGAACTGTTTCTATATCAAAGATTTCTATCTATAAGTGATAGTGATTGTGTGTTGAAGTTTTTGTTGCTGTTAAATGAGCCAAGAAGAAATGTTTGCTTTTTGTAGTGTGAAGGGGGGTGGTTCAGTTTTAAATATCTTTTTTTGGAAGACTGCTGTCAATAAATCAGTGTGGTTTGAGCAAGTTGTTAGGTTCAGCTCTTAATGGTTGGGGAATGCCACAGAACTGCTGTGGATTTCGGCTCAGGTGTAAGCCATTATTTTGTTGTTTTATTTTTATTTTATTTTTTTTAAGTACCTTTCGAAAGAAAAAGCCCATAGTTCATAGAACCTCAAACCTAGCAACTATTTACAGAACTGTTTTTCTTGTGTACCAGTTGTTAGCACTGGTGTCTGCTTCTTACAACAGCACCTATGCTTCCTGAGAGCCTTAAAAACACACTTGAAGTGCCAGATCACTGTCTTCCTGTGCCAATACTAAATATAAATTTTTCCACATGAGTCAACTGAGTGAAGATCAGATGTTTTAAAAAGGGTTTTATTTTCATTTGCCTGAAGGCTGCTCTGCCAAAAAATTTTTAGTGACCTCATAGCTGAAAGTGAGTGAAAATTTGTCCTTCTAGCTATTAAGTAACTCAACCATTCTGCACAGCTTTGTGAACTAGGATTAAATTTTTTTTGATTTATAATTTCTGTAATTCGGTTTTTGATTTATATGAAAACTGCATACACCTTGAGATATCACTGCTGGTACACCTCTTTGGCTAAAATTTGCCTGATATATTTGTAGGATATGGAAATGCTGTGAAACTAGGTCAGCAGTCCCTGGTATGCTAGGACAGAAAGAAAAACTTCTCTTTGGGTGTAACTTCATTATGTTTTCTCTCTGAAGTTCAGAAACAAATGTGTTGTGCAGCTTGTTTCTTTCTTCTTGTAGCTGACTTCTGCAGTTCCAGCAAAACCCATCTTCTAAGGCTTCTTCTAGCAGGAACTTGTCATCCTGGAAAGAATAGAGAATTTGCCAAGATGTTCAGGCTATGGGGGCAGCTTTTGATGGTGGAACAGCCATGTCCTCCCAGTCATGCCACTGAAATGCTCTCTGGATATTACATAGGATCTGTAATTCTACAGGAGACTCCTTGATGGAGATGGAAGTTTACGCATAAGATATGGATGAGATTCGTACTTGCAAAAGCGCTGATAAGTAGTAAAATGAAGTCATTCCACTTTCCATAGTACAGAAAGCAAAAATGGTGTCTGTCACTTATGAGTCATCACAGATGTCAGCTCCAGCAAAAGGGTGTTTGTTAGGGTGCAGTATTTGGAAGCTGGTGGCTGCAAGGCACCATGTAATTAATTATTTAGCTGCCTCTGTATATCTGGGTTCAGGGTGATATTCTTACATGGATATCTCTTGTGATTGGACAATCTAGATCTCTGTCTTCAGTATGTCATAATTTCTTGAGCCTACAATGATGTCCAAGTGTTAGTTAATACATTTTTGTCTTGATCTCATTTAACATGGTACAGGACAGCACCTTTCTCCACACCCATCTAAAGCTAGCTGTGCTGTGCTGACCCTTGGTGTGCTGTCATCATGGTATATGTGGAAGGGCACTATTTCAAAATTAGAGAGAGGACAGTGGAGAAGATAGATGCTAGCTTCAAGCAGACGACATCATTCAGGCAACGATTATATCAAGGTTAATGGAAGATCAGACACAGTATCTATCAGCTGAAGCAAGATCAAAGTAATCTGTTAAATACTAAGAACTATAACTCCTTTCCTGAAATGTCATGATGTACTGGTAATTTACTTGCAATATTTTGATAGTGTTTGACAAGTAGTCTTTGATTATTTATTGACACAAATATCCTCTGTGCTGCTCTGAGTATCTGTTTTTCTGTTCTTGGAAGGAAATTAAAGGTTTGGGTAGAGAGAAGTGAGAGAAAGCATCTAATTCTCACAAAGAGGTAATACACATAGCAGTGGTTGAGTAAATAGTAAAGAGAATGATCCCTGTATCTGTGGTGGGTTAGCCCTGGCCAGCAGTCAAATGCCCACCCAGCTGCTCACTCCCCTCTGCCTCATTGGCATGGGGTGAGGAAAATAGGATGAGAAAGCTTGTGGATCGAGATAAAGACAGGGAGACTGCTTATCAATTACTGTTGTGGGCAAAACTCAGCTTAGGGAAAATTAATCTATTGCCAATTAAAATAGATTTGGGTAGTGGGAAATGAAAGACATTAAACCAACACCTTTCCTCCCATTTTTTGCGGGTTCAACTTCACTCCTTCATTCCTGACACTTCTAGTCTCCCCCTGCCCCAGTTGGTATGGAGGGTGCTGTTTGTGGTCAGTACGTAGCAGTTTTTTCTTGCCATTCCTGCCTCCTCACACTTTTTCCCCTGCTCTGATGTGGGTTGCCCGCGGACTGCAGTCCTCTAGGGAGAAATCTGCTCAGTGCGGGTCCTCCATGGGCCGCAGTTCCTTCAAGACTATCCACCTCCTCTACAGGCTGCAGGTCAGTCTCTGCTCTGGTGCCCGGGGCACCTTCCCTCCTCTGGCCATGGTATTCACAGGGTTGTTTGTCATTTGTTTTGTTTCTCCTCCTCTGCCTTTATGGTGTTTTCTGTCCTTCCTTAAATAACTTTTCACTGACAGGTTCATCTGTGCCCTGCTGTGGGGCCAGTGCGGAGCTGGCTGGAACCAGCCATGTCCATCTTGGGGCAGCCCCGGCCTCCTTCCACAGAGGCAGCCCATCCCCACAGCCCCGCGCTGCCAGGCCTGAGCACTGCACCCAACGTGGCAGCCTAGAGTATTATCTTTCAGTAGCCTTTGAGAGCAAGGTATGAGTGCGTGATGAGCTCTGCACCATCTGAAAGGTGCTGATCCATGAAACTGGGTTGTCCACCCCTTCAGTGAGGCTGCCATCTTTGAAAGAGGGACCTGTTTTTAAAAAACAACTTGTAGAGTCCTTAATCTAACTGCAGGATTTTTAAGATGTACTGATTATAATGGGGTGTTCAGTGTTAATTATGTTGCATGGGAAATTCTAAGGAGTTAGTTGAAGTGTTATGATATTATGCAAGATGGGATAATGATCCCTTGTCAAGGATTTGTAAACTTTACCTGAGAATTGCTGTAAATTCCTTAAGCCTTTCCATAGGGGTCTTTGAAATAATGTAATACCACTTTTATTTTCTGTGAGAATGCAGAACAATGTATTTGTGTTTGTACTGGGTAGTTAGGAGGGGAAGTAAACACTGGGAGACCTGTTGGATTAAATAGTGACTGTCAACAGATTTCTTTGCTGCAGAGCTACTTTGGAGCCAACAGTGTATTCATTCACACTTTCTCTTCTATTTTTCTTTAAGGTGCCATTCAGCTGAATTTCTCTTTGGCTGTCCATAAAATCAGAAACAGAAGGATGCAGAAGACTATCCCTTGCCTTTTTGTACATGAGTGATAAGAGCACAATATCATTACTACAAGTTTGATGCAAAGATGAGTTCAGAGGAGAAGAGTATATCTCCAGCTCACAAAACATCCACTCCATCACATAGAAGTGCCTCCTCTTCATCATCATCTCAGAGGGACAGGAGGCAGGTAAGGAAAAGATCTAGATGTTTATAACATCTGGTGAAATGATTAATCCTGTATGTGGCCATTAGTTCTTGCTAGCTCTAAATTCACTTATTTACAACGCTAGATGATATCACTATAGCCAAGAATGTTGATTTTTAATTTTTTTTTTTCCCACTTTCTAAAGTGGTTTGAAAAAGATTCAGAAGCAATATGGGCACTATCTGTAGCACTGGAATGAGAAGTATCTAATCATGTGGACAATCAGGAAACATGCTCTGAAGTCTTTTGAGAAGTGGTTTCTTTGGTAGCATGAACCTACAGTTGCTCCAAATTGTTTTGTGTCTTCTGTGAATATCTTTTATTTTGTAAATTGAAATACAGAGATGTATTATATTTTTAAAAGGTGATATCTCAGTTCAGTTTAAATACATTGTTCATCCTTTATGGAAGCACCTAACATTTAAAATATTATTTGAGTTGCTACAAATTTACACTGATTGTCCCACTTTATATAGTACTAGTCCAGTTATGTTAGACTTGCATTTTCAAGAGACCCTTGCCTATGTTGATGTAATACATCTTTTCTCCAGGATCCCTTTATGATGAGGGCTGTCTTATTTCCCTTCAAAACAATTTAGGCATTCCTGTGGTTTTTTGAGGGCTGGGTGTACAGTCTGGCCCCAGCATCAGCAGGAACATTTCAGAAAGTACCAGAACTACCCACTAGATTTCAGATAGATTGTTACATGTATATTTACAAATGCAAAGGTTGATACTGATATTTGATTAGAACAGAAACATACTTTAAAACTTTCATCCATGGAAACCTTGAACACTAAATCAACTTCTGAGTTAGTTTAACATCACCATGTGTAGAAAAGAAATATACAAAATGCAAGACTATAACAACTGTATAATTTAAAATATTGTGAAAATATTTTTATTAATGAAATACTGGCTTCTTTTCAGCTTGACAAGGAAAAGAGGCAGGAAAAGAACTTAAATACAACTACAGCAAACAATTATTTACTTGAATGGCTGTAGCTTAAGAACACTTTCCCAGCTACTTGTATGCCAGTTATGACACTATTTTCTCAGCTGCTGCTGAAGTAGTTTTTTCCCTTATCTGACTTATAAAAATTTTGAAAACTGAGAATTTGATGAAAACTGTAACATTTATAGATTTGAATGTATAGAGTCTCATCATAAGGTATGTTTAAAATGTTAAACCAAGAGAAGAATTCTGATGCATGTTAGACAACAAGCAGGAAATGTGTCTAGAATTTTAAAAATAATTTCCATTGCATTTCAGTGAAGCCAAGAATTATGTTCTCACAGATGATAAATAGTTTCTCTTTCATGCTGTACAGGATTTGGGATAGCTGTACTCAGTTAAGTTTTGGTTAGTGTATGATCTCCTCAAAATTTTTCATAGTTCCAACCGGTGTAAAAAATTTTGACATCTTTTGTTTAAAGCATCAGTATATTTTTTTCTCTTGCATTTAAACCCAAAGAAGGTGAATGCAAGACTCATAGGAGCTGCAGAGCTGTGCTAAGAGCATATCCTCTGTGTTCTCTTTGTAATTAGGCAGTTTCGTACAATCATGCAAGTAAGAATGAAAAAAAAATTACCTTTTGGGAATACATTTTACCATAAGTCTAATGGCTAGCATATCTGTTACCATAGTAACGGGGTACAGCAAGATATGCCTGTCATCATAATGAAATGGATGCTTAACTTTAAGTCCATATTTGGTCACTGAAACGTGAAGCATGATTTTAAAATAATGAGGAAGAGGTCGATGGTGTGATGCATTCAGAACTCTCTTGGATCCAATAATGTCTGATGATGCTTAACAAGTATATTTAGGCATGTAAATGTGGAATAGAAAGTCTACCTCTAGGCATTAATTTTTTTTGCCTTGCTGCTTCCACTGTTAAAGGCAGAAAAATATCCAGGAGAATGAATGAATGGGCAATTTCTTCAGTGAAACTGAGCTATAGAATGCAACACAGTGTGAGGCGCAATAGTACTATATCCAGGGAAATAAACATATGAATGTATTCTTTGTTCATAGAAACACAGTAAATCAACCAGCTTCATCATACCATCTACTATAACAATTTTATTTCTAATTAATTTCCTTGCTTGTGTCATTATTTGTATGTGTATTAGTTTTCATAGGCTTTCCCCCAAACACAATGAGAGGTAAGGGGTAAGGGATTTTCATTTGGGGGCTGTTGGGTTTTATTTGAAAAGGCTTCAAAATTCTGTTTTGCTGCCTCTTCATAGCAGCTAAGAGAAAAACACCCTTCCTGAAAAGGTGATATATATGGGTATGGAAAGTGATGAGACTGGATGAAGTGTCAGTGTAGCTTTCATTGTCATATGTGAGGATTACACTTGATATTTCTAGATGGTTAATGACTGAAATCTTCTCATCATATAATTCTTGTCAAAGTCATACCAGCAATTATGGAACAGTTTCCCAATAAGTTATGGCACAGGAGGCTGAAGGAGTGTGAACATGACTATGATAAATCATTTCAGGGAGAGTGGAAAATGTCATACTGTATATAATGCTGGCGTTTTAATGTAGCTTTCTTATTTGTGCAGTATACATGACCTAAGAGAATTAGCAGTCAGTGACGGCTTTGACATTGCCAATTTGCAGGCTCCATAACTAAGTAATTTATAAATGAGCAGGCTACTAAAGCCAGCAATAACCAAAAAAACTGGGTTGAAATTTTCATCATTGTAGGAACTTTAGCGTAATTAATTTTCATCAAAATCATGGTTAATTTGGACTACTAGATAGAAGAAGACCCAGGAACAACCTGTTTTGCTTAATCCTTGAGCTGAGCAGGGTGTCAGGGCAGTTGTGGTGTCCTTGATAAAGAATACATTAGAATGGAGCAGCAGCAGTTTTTCCTGCTGTGGAGCTGTTGCAGAGTGTAGAACTGCTATCATTTCCACTCTCAGGGGATCTCCCTAAGACTACTAAAAGTCCCCATACAAAGGTGAGCATAAAAACTGCAGTTCTGACAGCCTTTTTTGTGGGTCATGATGGAAAGGGAGATTCTTGTTTTTCATCCCTCATGAAACTCTGAAAAAGCTGGTTATATTCTGTTGCACAACAAAAAGGAGGAAAACTAATGCTGTTTTTAAAAAATACAGCTGAAAAGCATATGTGTATTCAGCTTGATGAGTGTAAGTTCTTTATAAATATTCCATATTTTATTTCTTGACTAAGTATGCAAGTCATACTGCAGACTAATCCATTATATATTCTCTGCAATGCATGGGTAGTAATATTGTGCTGAGGAGGCAGAAAGAAGTAAATACATTACAGGGTTAACAGTGTGCAGTTTGGTAAATTGGGGCCTGACCCCAGGCTATTAAACAGAGGGAGTGATACAGAAGGAGAGTAATAATAATGAAACTGTGAAAAAAGGTGAGATTTTTGACTTTTCTGACCACCACCTAGAGGGTAGCTAATACATGATGTGAAATGGATTTAGCAATGTCTGCTATTTTAAATGAGAGGACTTCTCTCCTAATGTCTCGGTTTCTTTTTTGGTCTTTTAGAAGGGAGGGATGATCAACAGTTATCTCTTTCTCTGTTTCTGTTTGTCACATTGCTGTTTCAACAAATCCTTGTTTCTTTTCCCATATAGTAAACACAAAAGAAGGAAAGCTTTTAGTGCTATTGCATTTAGCCTTGTGTGGTCACCTTTCTAGTAGGAGAGCTTTCATATTTCAAATGACCATTGTCTTTCAACATATGTAAAAAGTGAAGGATAGGGGCTTTGAAGGAAAATGAGAAAAGATTTTCCAGAGCAGTAATCATCTGCTTTTTATTTTTTTTTTTATTTTTTTTTTCTGTAAGAGCAATATTGATTAATATGAGAAGGAGTGTACTCAAGGGATGCAAGGAAGGCTGCGTTTGGGCTGAAGATGTTTACCTGGCCTTTAAATTTTGGAGCAGAGCGCAATTCCAAAGTCAAGGCTCTGGTCTTATCTAGAGATCTGTGCTGGAAAATGCCTAGTTAGCTTTTTATAACCATAATATTTTAATTGTCAAAGTAGTCTCCTGAAAGCAGTATTTTGTAAAGTGTGTATCACAACTTTGTAGATATAGAGACTTTAATGATGATGGAAAGATCGAGTAATTTGTCTGCAGCAACCTTAACCAAACCTTAGTTTATAGACTAAGTGGCAGACTATAAAATAGCTATTACAGTAGGTGAATCTGGGGGTGAAATGTATGGTACCTGAAAAAAAGGACTAATGATTGTTATTTGTATATAGGGATGCAGTAGAAATCTAGGCTTCACAGTGCTATGCACTGTATTAAGCTCATAATAAAAGACAGTTGATAACATAAAGTGCTGATTAGATGAGACAGACATAGACTGGGAGCAGAAAAAGGGAGAGGTGACTTCTCTGTTGTCTCTTTCATCAACTAATGATAAAGCATAATGAGATGTGCATAAAGGGAAAATATGGTTTCTATGTCAATTCTAGAGTTTCATGCTTTCAGCTAACATTAAGAAGATTAAAAGTAGCATTATGAAGGGAAGTCTCATGGCTAAGAAAACTTCCATCAAGTTTTCCCCAGGAGACCATGAGCTGCAAATTTTTCATAGATGTACTGCAGGGACCATTGGATTCTGTGAAGCTGAGTTCACATGGGCAATCTGCATGTCACAGCAAGTGGGTGGTGTAGGAGGGAAAAGTAAGAAGTTCCAGGAGTTGAGTGCTTCAGCTGTGCAGTGTAGAAAGCAAAAGGTACTTGATTTAGAGAGTGAGACTCTTGGTCAGGAAATAAATAGGTGAAAAAAATGAGTAGTTGAGAGAGAACTGCATGGCTCAAATATTTCTTAAGGTCGTAGGACATAAAACCAAGAAGCAAGGACTGGTTTGTAGGGAGAACAACTGGCTGGAAAAGTAAGGGCAGAGTAGAGAGAAGGAAAATAAGGGGAGAGGTGTTTATCAGCAGTGTCTGGGAGAGCTGGTT